TTGTCCTCTTCTCTCTCTCTGCCTACGGTTTACCGGGCAGTTCTGTTTGTGACGATATATATATAAAAGGAACTCCTTTTTTTTCCGTTTAAAAGGGCGACGGCCTTGAGGTATCATGGTCTACTCACCGGCCCCAGATAATTCAGATTTATTGTTTTTTTTTTTTTTTTTTTTAACAAGAAAAACAATGGACTGTCATTAGCAGCATTTTTTTTTTTCTTTTTCTTGTCTTTTCAGCCGGGTTAGAATTGAAGATCCTATAAAAAAAAAATAAAAAAAATTGAGGAAGATAACAGCTATAGCCGAAATCAACAGTACGCAGAAAACACAAGCATACTTCTTCTTTTTTTTTTTCTTTTTTTAAATAACAAAACAGCCAGGATCAGGGCCCAGAACACAAGCATACTGCAAGGAGCAGAGTGCCAAACATGTGTAACTCGGCATAAACTCATTGATAGATGGGAAATAGAAAACATGAGTATCACCATAGCCCAGCTATGGTGTGCGAACCACTGCCCGCATGGATGGCAACACGTGCTGGATTTTTTTTTTTTAAGATGCTCCAATCAATTCGTGCGGAACGACACGTGCTGGGAATCGGGCCCAACTTGCCCGTCATGGGTGTACCATCAGGTTTCATAAGCGGAACGATTTTTTATTTTTATTTTTTGCGAAAAACATCTCTTTCATTATAACAATTGAATAGAGGCCGGGGATCTCAACGGAACGATTTTCATTCTGAGTGAAAGGTGATCGGGGTTCTGATAATTAAAAACTTTGATTTTTTTTTTTTTTTTTTTTTTTTTTAAACTACCAGTACCTCCGAGCCTGTTTTTGCCGCGAGCCACCGTCGCGTGGAACCTCGTAGGCCGTGTTTTTTATTTTTTTGTTTTCGGAAACGGTAACGTTTCCACATGTGGCCTGGAGTGGACCGGTACGGTCCACCCGACGGACACAAGTTTGGGCTTTCGTGGCCTGAATTTCATTTGTGTTTTTTTTTTTTTTTTTATACCATTTTTTGTTGTGCGACCTGTGTGTCGGTTTGGCGGCGACCGGTTTCGTGGAACGGACGGTGGTCGTTCGCGCGGTGGCCGAAGGACGGGCAACAACGTTTGCCATCGCCGCCGGCGCGTCCCGTTCTCCCACGTGTGTGTGCGTGTGTGTGCATGTGTGTGTGTGTGTGTGTGTGTGTTGACCCAAACTGACTGATCATCCAATCGACGTGCCGGGCCACGTGATGTTAGCCCGTCGATTGGCTGTACATACAGCATGGCACTACTCTCTCTCTCTCTCTCTCTCTCTCTCTCTCTCTCTCTCTCCCAAACTCTGTCTCCCAAACGCACTGTTCATCCAATCGACGTGCCGGGTGACGTCATGTTAGCCTGCCGATTGGCTGTACATACAGCATGGCAGTAGTCTCTCTCTCTCTCTCTCTCTCTCTCTCTCTCTCTCTCTCTCTCTCTCTCTCTCGGCTTGTATATTAAAGTGTTATAACCCGGACCAATTGCGAAGTACAAATTCACCAATAAAGCACAATGCTGCCCAATTGCAAAAGAAATGAATGAACTTGAGAGGATTGAGAGGATAAGAAGAAGAAGAAGTAGTAGTAAGAAGGAAGAAGATGAAGTACACCAGCAAAGAACCAATGTCAAAGCACTTCTCCTTCGCTCAACTTCTCAACTCCATATGTCCCCCTCTTATATTCAAACAAGAATTATTGCAACAATGCTGACCAGCTGATCCAGAATCAAAGTCCAAGGTCCTCTTCTACAGCTGACTACTATTGAGGTCCTCCATAGCCATGGCCGCCTCTCCCTTCTTCTTCCTTGG